CGCTCGCGCGCGCGCGCGCGTGCGTATCAATACCGTGGAGTGCCTGTTACACGCGTGTGTGATTGTGTGCGCCCGCTGGTCCACCACGTTCCAACGTCCGCGACGTCGTCGTCGGCGAGCAGTGGAGCGGGACAGGGATCGTTGGGGCACGGTCACGCACGTCGCGAAGGGCGAGCCATCGCGGTGGCGGACGACGCGAGGAGAGAGGAGGAGATGGTGGAGGTGGCTCGTTTTCAACGTCACGCTACCGAACTTGCCGTCGACCGTCCGTCATGTCAGCATGACGAGCGTACTCGTCCGCGGATCCTGGCCAATCCTGGCGAATCAATGCGACGAATTGATTCCCCGAGTGCGGGAAGATAAGCGATGGAGGATGGAGAAAGATGAAGAGGAGGAAGTGGCGGCGGCGGAGGAGGAGGAGAGGATATTGACAAACAATCCGGCGGCGATTGCGTACGACGGTCGCGCGGTGGCTGCGCGTTCTCCGTTCCCTTCACAGCGGTCCGTTTCCATTCGTTCCTGTACTTCTTACTCCGTTCGCGATGAATCTGGAACGCGGAACAAAATATCTATTCCATTTTCCTCTCGCTCCTACGCTCGCAAGAGCGTAATGACTGGAGCAAGACTAGTGACCGTAGGAAAGTTTATACTTAAATTTATGCAAACTGAGCCAAGAGTCTGTAACTCGCTTACCAACAATTGTCGGTGTCGTTAACTAACAACAGCCAATGATAGCCGTGCCTTTTTCCAAGATCATCCTTGCTATTGGCTGTCGTTAGTTAACGACACCAATAGTTGTCGGTAAGCAAGTACAGAATCCCGGAACTGGCCAATCACAGTCAAGAATTTTAAAATGAAAATTTCTATGTGCGAGGTATGAAAAGATACCTTTTTACGCTTTCAGATGCAGAAAGTGTAGCTTGGTACAGTTGCAGGAGCAGATCCAAAACGTTCAGCTCGCGTTAAGCCGAGTAGGCCGCTCGCGATAGTGCAATTTGGTGCATGTTCTGTTTGTATATTTTTTTCTTCTTCTCTCGTGCGTTTTTCGATTAGGTACCAGGTACATACGGCCTCTCGATCCGCTTAAATGTGATCGCGAGAGGGACAGTGTCTTGTCGTTCTTCATCGTGTTATTTGAACACGAGTAATCGACATGGTAAGTGAGACAGGTTGTGACATCCATCCTTCGAAAGTGGTAAAATTATGTTTAGTGTAGCAGATGCGACTAATGGAAATTAAATTGTCTCTCTCGAAACCATATTCAGTTCGTACAGAAGCGATTCTCGTTGAATGGTTGAATCGTATGTTTGAAAGTTTTTTTCAAACATGTAAGTTTGATGAGCATCGTTCGTTTACTTATGTATGTATTGACATTACATTTAATACATATGTGTATACACATATATATATATA